ATGAAATGTTTGCAAGAAAAGAACCAAGCTCAGAGAACCCCAAGGACTCCACAATCTTGTATCTGGATTCTTAGTCCAAGAGTAGCAGAATCTAAATCAACATTCTTGCACCTAGGAGTGGCACCTGAAAATATGGATAATGGGGAAAGCATTTTAAAGCAGGGTGTTGTGCAAATTCAGCCTGTGCAATTAATTTATAGTTCAGTGTATTGTGGGAAGGAAACTGCAATATGTTTATGAAAATTGGTTTGAATCAACCATAGTTCAATTAACCATTAAGTATTTGTGCCAATAGCCAAAGAGTAATCAAACACAAGGGCTTACTCTGTGTATAATTGAATACTCATTATAACAGTAATATATAACCCTAAAACTGAGTTTACACATAACACTAAGTTGGAGTTCTTTATCCATTTTTGTTGCCATAATGGGCTGATTCACACATAGCAATAAGCCATAATGAATGAGTTTATATCACACTAAGTCTGAAAGAAACAAACTACTTTGTTTAGTATGTGTGAACTATGCCTGAAAGTCCTTGTGCAAACTTTTTACTACTAAGGAAACAAAAAAAAAAATCAGTGAAACCACACCTACAATGCCCTTAACTAAGGTCTATTTAGCAGAATGTTCAGGATGTGGTTTTATAATCCACCTCTCAAGATATCCATAAGAAGTTGATGTAATGTTTCCCATTTATGGCAGGCAGACATATCCATTCATTAGGCTTGATTGTAAACAGTCTTGTGATGTGCAAAAGGATGAAAATATGTCTTTATTTGTCACTGTATTTGGAATTTTAAAATCTATTTTCTTCTTAGGAAGAACTTCGAATACCTGGAGGAGTTCAAAGTAGGGGGTACTTTATGTTCCGAGTACGTCAATTTCTGTTTGTTTCAGGCTCATTGCTATATTACAGGACAATAAATGACACCCATGTTGTGAACTGAAACTATTGGTTGGGAATAGTCTTTTGGCTGGTCCATAAAATAAAATCACCAATAGTGGGATAGTAGATGATGCAGCTGAGTTTATCACCTTCATGACTCTGCTTTAAATTTGTAATACAAACAACTTAAGAGACATAGGAAGCTCCTATTTTGTGACATGCAGCGACAAACCAGTTTAGAGAACAAAGCTGGAATATGGTTGCTCTCCTTCAACTGTGTTATTTCTCCTGCCTTCATTAAATTCTTGGTTGGGCACATTCCAGCTGCGTATATACGCACGAACACAAAATATACATGCAGCTGAGTAGGACAGGAGGATCTTAGTCAAGAAATCTCTTGGGGAAGATCAGCTGAGACATAGTAGAGCACTGATGCGTTTGCTGAAGAGACCAGCAAAAAGCCCTGAGAACGAAGATGTATACAGTAGATGTACCTGCTACGTGCCAACGGCTCAGTTTCTGACTATCTGTCAGAGAGTAATTCTGCAGTCCTCAACTAGAGATGATCACTTTTACCCTCCAGCACTATATGTTCTGCTGTATATATAAATGTAAATTCCCAGGAGGTAAATTAATGAGCTAGGCAGATTCATGGTTTATATAGTTCTGTAGGCCAATTTACAGTCTGAGGGCTAGTTTAAGTAAAACAGGTAAGGATGGCATTTTTGCTAATTTTTGCTGCTTTTCTTTTAGTAAGAAGAAAATCCCAAATCAGTTCTCTAGCATTCAGCTATAATTAAAACATACAAGCAATCTGCTAACATGTTAGGAATCTGCTTCAAATCATCTTTAAATTCTTACAGAGGCATTCCAAAAGATACTATTTATTCATCTTTTCCTTTTCTTTCCTAGCCACGGAATGGGAGGAGATCAGCTACTTTCTATTAAAAAGGTATTTATCTTATTTTTTGTTTCAAAGAAAGAATGCTTTATACAGCTAAAGTGCCTGGAAAAATTATAAACATTATATTTAACCAAATCTTAATCATAATTTTTATATTCTTTTAATACATTTTTTGGGCATTACAGCTGTGTGTGTGTGTGTGTGTACACACACACACACACACTCCTTCCTAACCATTCTATTGAAGAAGTTTAAATAAGTGGGTAAAGGTTAAATTTCAGTATTTTAAGGCAATCCTCCCCCCAGCAAGAAGCCAACAATAAAATATATACATATTCAGACTGAAATGGTTCTGATTTTGTTCTGAGGACAAAACTTAATCTTTTCTATCATGTCCTTCCTAACATACAGTGGAAGAATGTACCGCTTCTATACATTACTCCTTCCATATCTCCTAATTCTGTCTGTTTAGAATTGGGTAACCACCTGGTAATTCAAAAACTATAAATGTAATCTATTTTTATCTGAGCCACATGCAATTTTTTAAGATCTTTTTCGTGGCATCACTTTTGTTGATAGAGCCACTTAGTTCTTTTAAGGAGCTCTCCTTGGTCTTGATCGGTGAGTCTGTAGGCTTGTTCCTGTACCATCACCCCTTGACTTCAGAGCCTTTGGGCCTGCAGACAGACAGTTCCTTGCCTGAATGGGAGAAGTTAGGCAACAAAAGTTGTTAATTCTTTGAAAGACACCACATTGTGGAGAGAGAGAGAGCACTGCTAGGAGCAAACAGATTCTTAAAGAAAGTCCAGGTCAGGTTGAAGACTAAGTCTTGAAACTCTGGATTAGAGCAAACACAGATTTCAGTAATGTAATTTATCAATCAGTATCAGAAATATATTACTGTTCTGCCAGATTTGTAACAGTTTAAGCCATTTAAAAAGAGGTCTGTCATAAAAATGTGATGTAATTGTTTTATATATTATTGTAATTATTTTTTTTCTCTCTTCAGGATTGTTCCTTCTTGGACTAGTTATCATTTTTAGAGCTACAGAAAAAATGGACATCTTACGTGCTATTAAATGTCAAAGTTTTTTTTTTTAAGATATTCTATCCACAGTGCAAAATTCTTATAATTAAAAATGCGGATCTTCTGCATGTTTACTCACAAGAAAGCTATTGTTTAGTGGGGCTTACACTCACATAAGTGTCCACAGGTTTGCAACCTAAAGTGCATTTTTTTAAAAAGCATCTTAAGATAATTCTGTTCCCTCATGTTACAGTTTTTGAAATGGTGTGTAATTAAGCTATAAACAAAACAGTGTTGTAGTTGCATGCATAAGAACTTGTCAGTAGAGTGAATGCTATATATATAGTTTTTCCTCCTTTATGGTAAATAAAAACATTCAGTAGAGAGTTGTTTTTAATGAGAGTATTTTAATGAGAATGTTGCTGATTTTTAGTGTCATGCTTTTCATGCTTTGGGTGTTATGATTTGCAATTAGGCTTAAGTTTTTTGTAATACACATAATGCACTAATATCCAGCATACCTTTAAATGGGCCCTCCTTGCATATTGTGATGTTTCTGCTGTTGAAGCAGGAGAGCAATGGAAGTAGAGTTAACAAAATTGAGAAGAGGAATGTTCAAAATCTGGACTTCGTCTCTTTGTTTTACCATCCACATTTCTTAAATATCCCATCCCCATGGCATTCAACTTTCTTTTATGACCCCCTGCTCCATATACTTTAAACTTTTTTGAAAAAAAATCCTTTGCTGCAAAAGGTTACATCCTGCCCATTCACTATATTTGCAGTTCTTAACATTTTTTCTATCCATTTTCCCATCTATAGTAAACATTTGACTAAAGAACAAATTCATCTACTTGCTCTAATTTTTTGACATTTATATATAACTTGCAATGGTTCACTGCATTTTCCCTGTCAAAGACATCTAAACAAGCAGATTCAACAAACTCTTATGTTCACCTTCCATTCATTCTGTTGGACGGTGTTCTCATTTTTTTTTCATAAGAGATTCTTACATCTTTTTCTGAAGTTATCCTACTTCCACTCTCATTTCTATCACTTTCTTCCATATCCATTTCCCCCAAGATCCATTCTGATACTACCAAAAAATGCCCTACATTCAGAACTCTTGTAGCTGTCACTAATATTCTGTGTTTCATCATAAACAAATAATCATGTTTTTACTTTTAGTTTTGATATGTGTATATGTGAATAGACTTATGCTTAAACCATGTATTCAAACCAGATTTCTTGCTAAGCAGATACTCATCAGTCACCATTTTCCTTCATTTTTGGGTCTCCAGATGGACTGTTCTGGCTTATCTCATTCCTAACCATTCATGCATATTATCTAACAGAATAACTTTTCCCCTGGATTACATTTGTTCAGAATGTTGCAGGCTTTCTTTTCCAGAACTTATATCAGATTCTTCCATTATCACCATTTATTGGATCATAGCATGCAGTTATCACTAATTTATGGATTCCTACTTTCATACACCTCCACAACAACCTAGGTACACTGGTACACTGTCATACTTTCTGACATACCTTTAAATCCTTTTATTCATAATTATATCTATACCTTCACTTTCTTGCATATATTCATAATCTCCACAAGATCATGCTACCAAAATTCATATTTATTACATCCTTCCTCTTTCTCTTGGTTTTGCAGCTACAGGAACTATCTGTTTTTCTTTCATTTCATCTGTTAATTCATGCTCTTGACCATTTACTCCTCTCACATTCCAAGTCTCACTCTTCCATATGGCATGGTCAACATCAGATGGGCTTACAGATAATGATCTCCTTTGCCCATCATGGCTTTGGTATACTGAAGCTTTCACATAATGCTTTGTAGTAAGACAGAAAAGGTGTAGAGTGAGTTACCAGCCTTAATCATATTCATGCCACATTTAGCATTCCTTTGTAATGGTAAGAACAGTACTGGTCAGTCCTCGCATGTTTTGGTCAAAGTACAACTAAAGTCTAGTTTTGCCCAATGTATACCCAGACTATTCTGTGCAAGATATAACTGCTAATCTAGGGCTCCCTTTCAAGACAACATACTCTGGCCCACCTCGCATCATCAGCTAGGAGTTATGTGCAATGTACCGACACACTGAGGCTGCCTAGAACTGTAAAACCTTACAGAAAGTGGAATCGTGAACCATGAGTAAAAAAATACCTTTGGAAAATATAACTAACAATAGACAGTTTTGCAACAAATTAAATCTATTCATGTCAGAAGAGTAGCTGTATTAATTTATCCTTGGAGAAACATCCAAGCCTTTTATACCTTAAACATAACATTTATCATCAAGTAGCGCTTAGTTTGTGCTTGTGATCACCAGGTTAGCCTAGGAGGTTGGTGTCAGTGGGAGGACATAAATGTGGAATCCATGAACTTACAATAAAGTGCCTTTGCTCGTGTGTTTTGTGTCTCTCTCACTACTGAGTTTCCATTCCGATTACATCTACCACTTGCAGAGAAGAGACTGATAGGACAGGCTGGAATATCAGCATGCTGAATTCATAAACTATCCATTATTACCCATTTCTTTCGTTGCTTATGCCTGTGCCTATGTCTATTACAGGTAGACATTTTTGATATCTGTGGAAAAAGGTCTTTCAGAATTCATAGAATCATGGAAAGGAAAGGCTGCAGTGGACCTTAGAGATCACGCCCAGTGCAGGAATCCACTGCTATGGCCCTTCTCCTGACTCCTCCCACATTCTGAAGCAGTTGGTGGTTATTCAGTTGAAAGCCCGAGTGGATGTAAGCAGGTGGCATCATTCCCAAACATTGGGCAGTGAGGTGGTAGGAGACCAACTGTGCAGCTCCTAAGCAGGGCACCATGCAGGTCAGCTAGAGCAATATAGTATATCTCCTATGTACTGGGTATATTCATTCCTACCTCTTCAGGTAGCAGTAGTTTACAACTGAAATTAAAATGGGAGTGGAAAAGTACTTTATTTCCAGGCTGTTCACAGTGCCAATTGAGTAGAACATGAAGTACTGATTTTCTTTGCTTTGTCCCAGATTGAGCTCAGAGGAACTTGTTATGAGAAGGTTATGATAGATGTTGTTTGGGAAAGGAAACTGCACTGGAATATTACTGCCTGGGAGAAGAGAACAGTGAGACCATACTAAACAGCAAAGTCTTCTCAGTTGTAATTTAAAATTGCACTACACAAGGGTAATTGCTCCCAGTGATGGAAGCATAGCCAGCAGTAGCTCCAGAAGTAAAATACCAAAGCAAACATTGTTTGGGTTCCTAAAGTGTATTGAATTATAATAGGCATACTATATATATGCTGCCTAAATCCAGACAACCACTAGATGGCAGCAGAAAGATACAGATATTGTATGTGTACTTAATATGGTTCATTTGGATTCAGCTTACAGTGATGCAGGAACTCAACCATGATGGGTTTGTTAACCATGCGTTACAACTTAGTGTACTGTATGAGCTGCACTAATTGTATTTGCGATCAAAGCCAAGATTAAGAAACCATAGCTTAGTCTGATGCAGGAACTCCTCAAAAGAAGCAGTAGGAAGGAAAAGGCTGGCTGGGGAATTCTGGGAGCTGAAGCCCACACATCTTAAGTTGACAAGGTTGAGAAACACTGCTTTAGATGGAGAAGGCAGGCAGAAAATATATATGAACAAGAAAGCAAACACTGTATCAAGCAATAACTAATATTTTAAAACACATCCAGGTTCAAGTTTTTCTGCAAGCCTTTCTCTTAACTCCAACAGATTAAATTCGGTGAGAAATGAAAAATAAAACACTACAGGCATCCTGTATTGAAAACGTTTCATACATTCTGCACCAACCATAACATAGATAAACACTTTCAGAACTGAGCGACACTAGAGTCCGTTGGACAATTGCATAATTCTTAAATGACAGTATATTTAGCTCCATAAACATTCCTGATGAGTCTTAAAACATCTAAACAGATTTAGAACATATAATTTATATTACAAAGCTATCATAGTTTTGTGCTACTGTAGCTCTCAAGGTTCCTGTACCTCAATGTTGGAGTTCCCACTTTAATGAGAATGTTGAAGATCCAGTTGGAGATCTTCCATCTTTCCAAAGAATTACAGATTTAGGATTCTTGAACGAGTGAGAGTTAACAAGATCTAGAATAAGTTTAAAGTTGTACTGCAGGCAAATGCACCTATTATTATAATTGTCCTTTACAAATAATGCGTTGTGATTTTTTCCTAGCCTTATTTATCTCTGTTTACAAAATTATAGTGTTGTAGAAAATTGCATACGTTTCAATATTTCAACAAAATTAAATGGATTATCAATGTTTCACTGTTGCTTTAAATACGGGTTGATACACACTCTGCTTTTATATACCGTATATTAAAACCAAGTTCATTTTCCAACTGTTGATCCTCACAATGGCAACATCCGCTAGAGAGAGAGAGAGCGCCATCTGGAAAAACCCCAGGGTTTGCAAAATTAAAAAGAAATTTAAAATCCTCAGGACTGCATAACCTGAGTCAAAACAAAATGCTGAGTCACTCGAGGAGGAGCAATATAATATTGGGGGGGGGGGACCCAAAGAAGAATATTTCACATTGCAAGCTATTACAGATTCAGCTTGTATTTAAAATTATCCATACTACTTAAGTGCTCTCATCAGTCAATGAAACATTTAATTTGATAGTGCTAATTCTGTCTCATGTAGTTCTCTGTTGCCTAGTTTACAGTCCATGCTTAGCTGAAACTTATTAACAGTTTCAAAATCCTCTAAGAATCAAATCTTCAGTGACAGGTTTTTCTTTAAAGCCTGCTTCAGTTTGAGTTATGGATAGTCATATTTTTATTTCAAAGTAATCCAATTTCAGCATTCAAGAAAGGATTCATGAATCCTTATTTGAAGAAGGGAAAAACAGGCACTTGCTTCTGATTTAATTTATTGTCTACCTAGAGGTTCAAGAAGCAGAACAATTTCTGCAATCTATCAGAGGTTCGGAATAAGGGCATGGCATATAAACCATGCCTGCTGTTCATAATGGTTTTTAATGGCTTTTTTCACAAATATATTTCTCTGAAGCAGCCACTTGACTGAAATGGGATTACCACAGAAGGAAAGGTTTGTGAATTATATTGGCTCCAAACTTTTGTCTAGTTAAACTCTAAAAAAGAAACTTAAATACTTAATGTTTAAGCAAAT